CCTCTTTGTTAAGAGCAGATAGTAGAAAAACTATCAAATATACACCTCCATGTCACCAACCCCCCCTCACACACGCACATATCTGCAGCCTGCCAGCTATTAGTGCTAATATTTACCACTACGACTACCAGCCCCAGGAGATATGTGAAGCCAAATGTAAGCAGAGGCTGGTGATATGTCCATTTAAAAGTGCAAACAAGCTAGAAGAAAGTCTGCACTTCAAAGGAGTCTGCCATGGTGAAGTCATCAGCAGGACTCTTAACAATGCAATTTTTATAAATGAGTGCCCAGTAAGCTAATACACCTTTTAAATACAAGTCTTGTGTGCCAAATGATAAAGTACAATCATTATCAATCTGGTGAAATGAATGAACTTTCAACAAGAACTGACGGTGCACACTGTGTATGCACTTTGTCAGTCCTGCACATGGCACAAAAGAGAGTTATCTGAAACAAATCCCTTCTGTAAGGGAGTAATAAGAATCAGTAAATATATATAAAGCAGTTATCTCACAGCGTGATAACATTTATGATGTGTCAATTGTATTGTGTGTAATACACAGGACAAATGAGCTTCATACGTGTAAGCGATTATTGTCTACACATGCACCAGCAGTCAGGGCAGTTTAAGAAAGCTTCATGTTGAGACCGCTTTCATCTTCTACCTGTACATGAGATGGCTTGTATTATTATCCTGATTAAATGTCTATCTTTTTCCCTCTGGCTGCAAGGCTTCGATCATTGCACGAATTGCTTGCTTCTAACAAGCTCTTGTGTTTTGTGATCAGAAGAAAATTGTCTCATTTCACAGAAGAGTGTCAAACTCGAGCTAGCTTTGGTGTCGCAGGTTTGTTTGTAGACAACAAAGGACAAAGAAGACAGAATTAAAACCCTTACAGAATCACATCAAGCATTTTGATATAGGAAAATCAGCATAACAGCCCCATTTGGTATATTTAACAAAAAAGTTTCTAGAAATTCAGCTACCACTGTAAGAGCTTTTGAGGAAATGAAAGAATTCTGCTATTGATAAACAACCCATGCCTATGGGTGATCAACTTAAAAAAAACCCAACAAAACAGAACAGAAGACAAAATATCAACAGCCATAACTCATATTGTCACATTTCCTTATACCCTCCACTCAAAAGCAAATTATTAGTATACCTTATTCCTACTCTACTATGTTATAAATCAGAGGTAGATGCAAGTTACCTTAGATTGTGTACTGAAGTGTATTTACTGAACTTTCCCATATTTCATTTCTTTACATTCAAAGACAACAAAAATCTCATGGCCTACTCTATTTGTGGATTGAATTCTACAAATGGGTAGAAATCTCTGTGACTTCCTTTAATCAGATAAAATCAGTTACTAATGTAAATATGACTACATAATGAGAATCAGCATATGATGCAACTGATATTTTTTCCGTTTATTTGGGACTGTATACCATTGTGTAACTAACACAGTTAAAACACCATTTCCTGATAAAAGAAGGATGTTGATATTATACATATCTTTAAAAATTAAATGGCTTCTGTTCTATTCAGGAACTCTAGATGAAGAGAAATTGTAGAATCACAGAGATTTATCTCCAGGGAGATAAATGATTTGATATATATGGTAACTAGGTGACATTGTGATAAGAACCTTAGAAATATGATAGATAGACTTTGCAATACACTGTTTTGCTGATAATCTTTCCGCATACATACTCATCAGAACTCTATCCTCTTCAGAACAATGTTCAGCTGCTGACCTCTTTATACTTGTACTTGTTCTTTGCCCTTTTGGTCTCATTCACAGCCACATGAATCACTCCCCTTTGAGTTCACATAGCATTCTGTGATCATTGTTGCTGGTTCAGCTAGCACATAAATCACAGGCAATAAATATGTAAATTGTTCATTTTCATGTAAACACTAAACCTTCAATAAAATTTTCATGAACAAAGAGAGTTACTGGAAGTTGAGGGCCTTCTAAGAAATGAAGTATCACTGGGAGAAGATTATCCTTGTTATTGATAAAATGTATATCAATCAATAAATACTTTGTAAATGCTAGTATCCAAAAAAATATTGCAGGATTAATGGAAAAATATAATCTTGTTTTGTCTTGGAAAAGATACGATATTCTGCACAGGGTTGATTTAATATAATTATTTGGCTACTGGAGCAAAGAGGTCAGCAAGCCCAGCTAGGAAAAAAAGACATTCATATTTTAATATTCATACAGTAAACTTTTGTTGAAAGTAGTAAGTACAGTTGTAGGCATTAAAATCTTAACCTCAGAGAACAAAGATAGGAACTTAAAGAAAATCGCTAATTTGGGAGGTGCTGCACTAAAACAGCCTAAATATGAAAATTGTCCATAACAGAATTATATATGAACTCTTTACTTAGTAATTCTTCTGTTGTCTTAACACCTTCATTTTTCCTCCTCATCTGTCCCATTTGAAGGCAACTGTTTAACCTTTATGAGTAAATTTGTCCTAAATTTACCAAACTAATTGACTTTGCTGTTGATATGGAATATGCCAGTGATGACTCAGATATTAACAGAATTAAAGATATATTTGCTTCAAAACACTGAGTGTAAAAAAAAACCAACAAAACCCAAAAATACCCAGCACCCAACCCCACTCCCCCAAAAAAACTTGTCAAAAAATCACAGATCAGTTCAACCAGAGTGTACCAGTATACAGCTCATTTTTTTCAAAGTAGAGCTGAACCTTAAAATCTATACAATTTCCTATTGCATTTTACAGCATGGCCATTTTATAGTTTAGGGTTGCCATATAAATTTTAATTGTTGCTTTTACGATCACAATGCCCAATTTCAAATAGTCTCAGTTTATATACTTTCTACCCACTTTTCTTTAAAATATCTTCATTCTTAGATCTGTGAACATGTATCTTGAAGTATTAAATAGTTGCCAGATGCTCAGCACTTCCACAGCCTTCCCTGCTTGCTCTGTCTAATTTTACCTGTCATGACCCTGACCCTCCCAGCCTGACTCAGTGTTATATTAAACACTTTTGCTGCTGCTGAGCTGCCTTTCTTGTCTTGCACTCTGCATGCACTGATTGCTACCATGCAGACCTATTTTTGCTGTACAGCCCTTTTGTGCTTCAGTGATTTCACCTTTACAGCTTTTACTAATAAATTACTGTGCAACTGTAAAGCAGAAAACAGTAAAGCAACTGTTTTCTATCTCAATGCATAGAGTTTCTGCCTGTCTCTCCTCTTCTGTGATGCTGTTTGACATAATATTTGAAAAATATCAATATTCTTTGACATGTCCATGCTCAGTGCATATGCCAGCATATTGAGTTCATTGCAGCAATTAAGTATTGTCACTGCAGATATTAATTTAATAAGGTAATGTCAGATCTTTGATACTGGTTAAAAGTGGATGCTTCAGACATATTTTAAAGAAATCCTTTACACAGAAAAAGTATGTCATAAACTTGCAAAGTGTTTCTTTCTGATTCCTTTCAGTTAGTGCGAAGCTCGTTCTCTGAAGAATGAAAATTTGTATTTATGGCTGGTAAGTATATGGCTGTTGAAACCACCAATATCCTTATTCCTGCTGTTTTTTTTTTTAATAGGAAATGTTTCTAGAGTCTGGCAGTTTGGGGACTGACTTTAGTATTATTTGAAAGGATTGGCTGTAACTTACATTTTGATTTAAATTTGACAGAATGTCTCCTTTTACAGGTCATGGTCTAATTTCTTCATCTTTTTGCTTCCCTGTGATCTCATTTTCCTCTCTTACCTAAATAAAATCTTTGGGATTCTGCAAATCTCATTATATATGGAAACAAGGTAACTAGAGACAGGACGAGAGGACACAGTCTTAAGCTGCACCAGGGGAGGTTTAGGTTGGACATCGGGAAGAATTTCTTCACCTAAAAGGTGATTAAGTATTGAAATGTGCTGCCCAAGTAGGTGGCAGAATCACCATCCCTGGAGGTGTTTAAGGAAAGACTGGACAAGTAACTCAGTGCCGTGGTCTAGATGACACAGTGGTGCTCAGTTATAGGTTCACACTGGATGATCTCAGAGGTCTTTTCCAACATAATTGATTTTGTGATTCTGTGAAAATGTCACACATGATTGTTTTATAAAACAGCTAAGTTTATTTTCTGTTGTCTTACATTTTTAGTCTATCCACTAGGTTATTAGACTATCTAATATCTACCAAATACTTCTCAGTGTGTGATTGTTTGTTCAGCATATATTCTGTCACTGTCTTTTGGTTCTAGCTCTTAACCTGTGCCATGAATCTGGAATGGCTCAATTCTGTCACTAGCTAGAGGTTAGGTGGAGTCTCAAATCTGACTTAGTGTCCTCACAGGCACAGAGTTCAGGTCCAAACTTGCACAAAACTAGTAAAGTCAACATGGGAGCAATAAATTCCAGATTTTGTAATCAGACTGCAGATGTTTTCTCCAAAAAAACAAACACAGGCCATGATTTCATTTAATATAAACCTATAGAAAGTTTTAATGCCTAATTATTAAAACGACTTTAAATCATCAGGTTAACATAATAAAGACATGTAAATAATTCTTTAATTGTTTTCTGAATTTTGGGGTTGTCCTAGTCAGAACAGCTGGGACCAGCTTATCATTTTATAGGTGTAACCCAAAACTCTGTATTCTATACCCTTCCATGCCATTTCCCAGAAACTGCTAACAATAGACCATTTACAGCAGCTACCCAGAGCACGCCTGACCCCTCAGGCTATAAGCTGGGTGTTAAGAGGCCTGTGAGATAGGAGGATGCTCCTGTCCTCACACCCATTGTGGAACTCCCCGCCCTGAGGGAGGTACTGGGCATTCCTGCCTGAATCAGAGTATATATATAATCTTGGGGTCTTGGAACTTCTGGTACCACTTGTGGAATCCAGAGAAGGACTGTGACCACCACTCTCAACCAGACTGAGACCACCACTCTCGACCGGACCGCAATCACCACTTTTCAACCAGACTGTAACAGCACTCTCCTCAACAGATTTTTCCCTCTCCTTTTGCTTTGGACTCAGGGGGACCACGTGGGGCTCAGCACAGGGAGGGGGGCCTAAGAAACACTGCTTTGTTCATGCCCCGGGGTGCTGGGTTATACGTTTGGTTTTTGTGGTTTAAAACCAATTGTTTGTCTGTATAATTGTATTTATTGTATTATATTTATTAAATTGTTATTCTGATTTATAATCTCTCTTTTGAGTTGGGTCCATTTCCCCTGCCGGTTTACCTTTAAACCAGCACAGGGGTTTAACTTGAAACAATGTACAAATGTAAAAAATATCATCATGTACAAATTCCAGATTTTCTCTACTACTGTCAGTACTAAAGTCTTATATGAAAATTGAGAATTTCTATTGGTTCTTGACAATTGCAGCTCTCAGAAATTACCACAGAACACAAAGTTCACAGTAAAAGGAATGAAGACATGCCAATAATAAGTCTTTCATAACCATTCTTCCAAACATAAGTGGTAGCAGGTATCAAACATTCATAGGTGGCCCTACAGCAGAAAGCTGAAAATACAGTTCTGGCTCTCATACTGGCAACAGCAAACATAAGCTGTTGGTGCCTTGCTGGTGATGTGGAGAGTTGGGGTCTCTGATAAGAATATGGACCAGAGGATATCAGTTCTGGTATGTGGTAGGAGGCAAATAATACTAAGGAGAGTCTTTGTTTAGCCTGTTCAACACAACCAGCTCTTGGCTAGTAAGCCGTCAAGAGACCTGGCTCCAGCTATACTATTAACTGAGATGCCCTCCAATTTCACTGTACTGACAGATAATTTTCTGTTTGATTGGTGACCCTGTACACATTCTTTTAGTTTCACACCTCTTTTTGTTACAGCTGCAACACCTAAGTCCATGTATTATGGTGCTGAGAAAAATGACTGTCCTGTACTGGTGAAGATTAATCCTGAAGAGATTTTGGTTTCATTCCCAGCTTGTCTGGAGACAGTGTATATAGACACAGAAAAGTCTCTTATAACTCAGTTTTTTAAGAGGCGTTGAGAACCTGTCACTTTCATTGAAAGGTCATCATTAATCTTTGTTTGCCTTTATGGGAAGAAGACTTCTGAATTTAGGCAGTCATGCTGGCTTGGAGACCTATCTTGACAGTTTCAGCACCTACCGGAAAAGCAGACCATGTGTAAGACTCATGGAGGATGAAGGTCAGAGTCACATTTCTGAATATTTAGGGAAGAATTGTTTTGAAAGTAACCATGAATTTAGCAAGCCTAAGTCATGTCTGACTGAACTGATAGCTTTCTATGATAAACAGCTAAATTTCCGGATGAGGAGAGACTAGAAGATATAACCTAGGTTTACCTCAACAAGGTTTTTACACTTTAGTTTATTTTATGCAAGTTAGAGTGGCACCCTGTAAATGGAAGACCATCAGCTAGACAAAATCCTGACTGGATGACTGCTCTCAGTGAGTCCTCATAAATGAGCTGTATGCCCCCTAAAGCCTGGTACAACGTAGTGGCCTATACCATGACGTGTCTTGTTTAACATCTTCCTCAATGGGCAGGGGGACAAGAAGGAACACGTGCTTCTCAGGCTGGCTGGTGACAACAAACTGGAGAAACTGGTCACTGGAGAGCAGGGCCACCACCCAGAGGAACTGGGTCATGCTGGTGGAATAGGCCTTGTGCAGTTCAGCACAGAGAAGCGCCAAGCCCTGTCCCCAGGCTACCCAGGCAGCATTGCAGGCTAGACATAACCTGCTTGGGTAGAAGCTCTGCAGAAAAGGACCTGGGGCCCTGGAGGACAGTGAGCTACACAGGAGCCACCCTTGACCTGACAGGAGTCACCCTGGGGCTCAAAGAAGCCACCCTCAGGCTGGCAGCATTTGGTACTGCAGGAGCAGGAGCTACAGAAACTATCATTTGTTCTCTGATTAGTAGGAGTTTGTTTGCGTTGAAAAAATAACAGTAATTCACTTACACTTACTTAAATGTATATTTATCTTGTCTGTGACTCCTTGTCTCAACTGAGAGGAGCAAAAAGCATGTTTTCCAGTTTTAAACAGGGAAACAAAATAGTCCTATTTTCCATAACTGCATATTTGTGAAAGACAATGAAAGCCTCTCTTCCTTCCTGTGGCTTTGGAAAGGAGAATATCTAAACATCAAACTGAGGCCAGACTCAGAATGTTGGTGAGGTTCCTCAACTGGGACGAAGCAGCATCATCAATTAAAGTCGGAAGGAGGAGGGCCTGCATGCTAGAATTGTAGTACATTTGAATAAAAGGGAAAAAAAGTGATGCAGGTGAGACGACAGATAACAAGACCAATCTCAGTGGTATTTAAAAGCATGTAAATGGCTTCTGACAGAGGGGAAAAAATAGAAGGTTCCTCTTTCCATTCCTCATGTTTTGGCTTTGCCCTCTCTGAGACTGACCATTAGTAATGGCATTTTGAGCAATTTATTTGTGTTTATTAAAGAAGGGGTTCCCTTAGTAGCTACAATGCTATTTTGTAACTTCGAATCCTGTGTAGTTGGTGTCTGTATTATTGACTCAGAATGTCTGTAAATCTAATTTGTGAGCTTTAATGCTATAATAAGCTACATAGTCCAAGAACAAAGACTGAATACAATTTGGAACAAAGCATGAATACTTGAATGTAGATTTAGAAGTCAGGCCAAGCCTAGCTTTGAAAAATACTCAAAGCTTTTTGGAGTGAGCGAAATTCCTTTCTTTGCAAGTCTGTAAACACTGAGGACTAATAGCAAGGTACTTCTTTGCCTTGTTTCTAGCTTATTGTCACATGTTAGCATTCAGTGAAGTCAGGAGCAAGCTCTATGCAGAGTATGTCTTGAACCATATTGATCTACCTTTCCTGATTAATGAGTATCTACTTATAACTGAAGAAATGGAGATATTTAATTTTGGGAACCATCTAATTTTAGTTTGCTTCTTGGAATATAAATTTTCAAGGGATTTCACAGATTTTCTTTATAAAATACGATTTCTTAGTAAAAGATATTCTCTCTGGGGTCTTTGTCAGGAGTAGAACAGAGATGTGAGTGTTGCCAGAATGTAATTTAGGTGTCTGGACATTGGCGAACATACTGTCAAGGCACAGCTAGCCCACAGTCTGGAAAGCATGGAGGTAATGCAATACTTTTCACAGTAGCCTGATTTTGCTTCCAGAGTAACAAGTTTAAATTACCCTGTACATTTTCATATTTAATGGAGATTTACTATTTTAGGTGCTACTATTCTGGAAATAGAAGATAATGAAAATCAAATTGAGCGCAACTTTTCTGTTTCAGTAATTACATCTTGAAATTAACAGATATACAGAAAAGCTTCCAAGTTTGACTAAGGGACAAACTCTACCTGGAATATACTGGAAAAAATAAAGAAGAAATTTAAAGATATGAAATTTCTAAATATATGAAGTTTCCAAACCAGTTTCAATACAGAAAAATGTGAGTCTGCGTACCTTGATCTTGACAAGGAAGGCTGTATTTGCCTCTGTTTTACTAAAAGTCAGCTAAAGCAATTTTGATTAACAAAGGCTGTGAAGTGTCACAGACTTAATGGCATCCTGAGAGGCAGGGCATATCAGTTAGATTTAACTCCTCTGTGGAAAGTAGTTATAAATAAAATCTCGAGATCTCCTGACAAAACATTTTCTAAGAAATGTAAAATTATAGGTGTATGCTCGACAGTAAAATTTATACTAGAAGCAGTAAAAAGAACTTTATTAACATAAACAAGTCAAGTATCCTAATCCCTTTCAGAACTCCTAAGCTTCTCTATAAGATGAACCCTGGAAAAGACAGTTATCTTGCATATGATTTAGTCTTGGGAGAGACCCTTGGCAACATCTTTTTGAACAATACTTTCTCTCGAACGACAGTAGAAGAGTTTGTACAACTTCTTGTGTAATGCAGTAATTGTGAAGACTGGATTTCATTGTAGTTTTGTATGAAAAAGACAATGGAAATATGTATGCAAAGAGTTAATTTTTTAGGCTAACACAGTTTTTCAATTATTTATCACATTTCATGAAATTCGAAGGACATTAAATGAAGGTAGCAGTACTGGCTCCTGTGTCAGGTTACTGTCTAACAGCCAAATAACAGAAAAAGACCACTTCTTCATGTCTTTGCTACCACACATTGTATGCCTAGTGAAAACTGTCAATAATTGCTGGGGTTTTTTTACCTTCCTGAATGCTCATAGGCTGCTTCAAACAGTCCTAGTAGTACAGAATCAATAACTTAGCGCCAGCAGCCACAGCAAAACTGTTATCATTATTGTATTTACCCTCGATTGGGTTACACTCTTTCCTCCCAAAGCCACTAAAAGTTCCATCAAGCACACACACTATCTCCTTGGTAAGTTCCTTCTGCCTTCTACAGGTACCAAACATGTTTCATTTTTTTTCCCTCACAGAAGGATGTTATGGCTAAGAAATACATTGAGATAAAAACAAGCCACAAGAAAAAAATTTTGCTCAGGTTTTAAATAAATTGCATCAGGACACTGATTCAAAACACTAGATTATTGAATTGGCACCCTGACTTGCTGAAACTAGATAAAAATAAGCCAGTAGGAGAAATGGACCATGAAAAACTTTGGGTTTATTATGGCGGTAAACAATATATCCTTTCCAGGATTTTCTTCTCTTCTCAGACAAAGCAGACATGCAAGCTTGTGTTCAGTGTTGAAGACATAACCATTCAAAGGTATGATTTTATATAGACACATTTAATCTACCCTTTAATTAATCAACTCCATGTGTCATTTTTTACTTTAACCCATTCACCATTTCTGGCTTTGTTGTGTCATTAAATATGACATTTCCATATTTGGAAAAAAATGTCAAGCTGCAACACCTACTGCATTGTACTGCCTCTACTAAGCAGAAATCATGATTGACAGCTTGAGTCTCAGAAGGAATAACTTTCAGTAAATAGGAAATACATAACGTTCATTAGTGGCTTTAAAATATTTGGAAAAAAGTGACATTAAACAATTTTCTCTATTTTCTTTCTGTTCATGTATCATTAATCCTCTGTCTCTACTACTTAGCATACACCTTTTTAATTTTAAATTATTTTTACCTTTGTATGTCACTGTATGCTCACCACAGACTAAATGAGAAACAACTAATTTACCACAGTTTGGCTCAAGTAAAAAAGCTGTGTCACTCACTATAGGGACTTGGA